TTAGAGCTGAGAGAGAGAGGCAGTGTGGTCAGTGGTTAGAGCTGAGAGAGAGGCAGTGTGAGCCCTCTGTCCCTCATTCCTCTCTTTACCTAGCTCGGTATCTGTATGCTGTGCTCCTCGCATCCTAGCAGCTCTCACTCAAGATGTGAGTGATATCAGACTGAAGGTGTTTGCTCTCCTCTATGCTGTATGTTCAACTCTCCAACCTGGCAGAACCAGCTCAGCAGGGGGATGAGCAAGCAAGACTGAGCAAGTGAGAGGGAGTGACTGCAGAGAGGCTCTCACTAAGAGCAGAGGAATATTTGCATGGCTCTGTCAGCTGCACGGTGTGTTTAAATTACTGGCAAACTGCCTTTGGACACAACAGATAAGGCATTGTTCCCCTCTGGTCAGAAAAGAGCATATATGTAACTGTTCTACAGAAACACGCACACATGTGCAGCACTGCACTACAGCAAGACACACATAAAGGCAGAGTCTGCATTACACAAGCATACAACAGTGCACCACAATAACACTGTCATACAGCACTGCACTACAGTAATACTTACATATACTGTAGAACTCCCCTAAAAGTAACACTTACGATAAGATAAGATCACTTTATTGGCCATATACAATTTCTTGTATGAGGAATTGGTCATTTCGCATACCCCAGCTTCCTCTCCATGAGACACACAGGCACACAGACAGGGAGAGAGAAGCTGGGGGTCAGAGCGCAGGGTCAGCCATTTCTTCGGCACCTCTGGAGCAGTTGGGGTTAAGGGCCTCGCTCAGGGGCCCAATGGAGTAGGATTCCTCTCCCAGCCACAGGATACGAACCGGCAACCTTCCAGCCACAGCCACCAGACTGCCACTGCACTCCAGTAGCACATACAGGCAGAGAGCTGCATTGCAATTACCCACACATACAACCCTACACTACAGTAACACTCACATACAGGACTGCACTACAGTGATACTTATATATAGTGCGGAACTGCACTACAGTAACACCCAAATATACTGTAGTACTACAATACAGTAATGCACATACAGCACTGCAGCACTGCACTACAATAACACTCACATATACTGTAGTACTGAACTACAGTAACAGTCACAAATACCATAATACTACACTATAGCAAGACACACTCATGTTCAGTACTACACTACAGTAAGACACTCATGTACAGGTACTACACTACAGTGAGACACATTCATGGACAGTACTACACTACAATAAGACACACACGAGATCAGCAAGGTGCTGATTCCCAAAGGAGTGCTGTGAGGAAGGATCTGGTGTGCTCATGTACAGTAGGTGTGTGTTCAGTTTATTTGAACTTTGTGGAATAGTTCCAGTATTGTGGAAAACTTCTCCTTTTTTTGTTTGTTAACGAAACCAAGGTGAATGTGAATAAAAACCGTTTATTTTTTAAACCTGGCGAGGTTTATTGAGGAGTCTACACGGCCATGGTCAGCCTTTCTAACGGTGGAATCACTGCTACTACTACTGCATTGATCAGAAACCGTCTCCTGAGGAGAACGGAACGATAACGGAGAGAAGGGAGGATTGCTCTGGAGGTAACAGATGTTATGCACGTTCGTTAACGGACACTGATGAGTACAGTTAGCAGGAACATCGATGCTACGTACGTATCTGCCTTACGTAACGATAACGTTAATGAACATTGAAGTTAAAGTCCGAAGGGTGCATCATCTTGCCCGCTGGAATGTGAGTCTGCCCTTATCGCCAGATCTCATCCAGCCCGACAGGGGCAGCCGAAAGGACTTCCTGTTGTGTACGCACTCAGCGGGAGATCTTATCGCACAGAGGACACGGCTTTTCATCTGTGAGTTTCTTCTATTTACTGTGTTTTCATCACTTGGCTTTCCTGTGCTTTTACTGTGCTGTAACCCTGATTTCACCGGGCTTTAGTGTACTTTTACCCTTATTTTACTGTGCTTTTACACTGATTCCCCTGGGCTTTACTGTGCTGTAACCCCGATTTTACCATGACTTTCCACTGATTTTACTGTACTTTTACCTTGAATTTACGGTCCTTTTACCCCGATTCCCCTTGGCTTTACTGTGCTTTAACCCTGCTTTTACTGTGCTTATTGCCCTGGCTGCCCTGGACTTTACCGCACTTTCCCCTCATTTTCACCGTGCTTTGCTACACAGAGGGAGGGAGAGAAACTGGGCTCCGAGAGCCGGAGGGAGGGAGAAGGACGCTCCACGCTCTCGTCTCAGACTGTTTATCTCCCTCGCTGTCGGTGGGCAGAAAGCGAATTTCCTTGGCGGTGCGGGAAGAGAGCACTGCACCTACACGACCGATGTGGCTCCGGGACCATGAAGGTTGATGACAGGTGAGAGGACTTTCGTCTGTCACCTGTTCGCGCCCGGCTCGGGGAGTGTGCGTGGCGGAGTTTCCGATCTCTGTTTCGCGAGGTCGTGTCAGGTCCCACCTGTTTGTAGGCACGCTGATACGGGACCGGTGACCGAATCGCCGAGTTAGTTCAGACTGCGAGCCTGCGCGACTCGTCTGTCCTGTTTTGATAACAGTTAAAAGATAATCATTAACATTTAGTGAAGTCTTACCATCCTGGTCTTCTCTGAAGCAGGAGGCG